TCTGGGAGCCGTTATGACGTCTATCGGGAGATTTAAAAGTGACTCCTATCCCAGCATTATCTGAACACCTGGGGGGCACCTTGTTAGAAATTAAAATCTGTATTTTAACCAAGATACCAAGGAAATGTGTGCGAACATTAAAGGTAAGCCCTGGTGTAGTCACTTCGCCCCTAGATGCAAAACAGTACTTAAGGGTAGCGTCTGGTTCAGTTCTCTGAGGTTGGCTATGGCCATACTCATGAATAACCAGCCAAGTGTTGTGGGTTTCTATGTAACAGACGATGTAAGGGGCGCTAGGGGGCCTGCAGCATATGCAGCTAGTGAGGTCTCCGCTACCAGGACTTACTTTCTACAGGAGGAAGGCAGAAGAAGACGAAAGAGCAAAATAAGAGATTTGCTATTTTTACTTAGGGAGGAGCGCCCTGAGAATAGCAGGATCGTATGATGCAGTGCTCGGTAGACGACGCGTCAGTGAGGGCCCTCAGGAGGACTGACGTGTTAAACACACAATCATGGGAAGGAGCCAGCCACAGGAGCAGTCAGGGAATGCATCCCAAGCAAGAGATGCATTGCCCTGCATACAAAGCTACGCTTGGCATGTTTGAAGGAGACGAAGAAGGGAAGAGCGGTTCAAAATGAGGTTCTAAAGTTCCTCTGGGCCGGAGCACGTCGGACCTTAGAGCCTCCTGATAGTAAGGAGTCTCTAGTAGGAAACGTAGAGGCTTCAAGCACGATGCTGGGCCTTACATTGTCAGGGGCCATCCTGGGTGCCGGGGGGCCATGGTTACTGGGGCAGGGAGGAGAAGCAGGCAGCCCATCAGGGGGCTGCTGCAGTCGCCCAGGCGAGACATGATGCTGGCTTGGAGACGAGTGTTTGGATTTTGGAGGTGGAGCCATTTGGACTTGCCACAGGGCTGGGTGGCAACAGGCTCTTGGACCATTGGGATGGTTCACCGGAGTGAAGCACAGCAGGTGGTCAGTGACCCTTGGAGCCATGTTCCTGAGCTTCGATGTGGATGGAACTGGAAGGTATTAGCTGAGTGACATAAGTCAGTAAGTCAGTCGGAGAAGGACAATCATCATGTGGCTTCACTCATATGGGGAATATAAAAAATAGTGAAAGGGATTATAGGGGAAAGGAGAGAAAATGGGGGGGTGGGATCAGAGAGGGAGACAAAACATGAGAGACTCCTAACTCTGGGAAATGAACAAGGGGTAGTAGAAGGGGAGGTGCGGGGAGGGGATGGGGTGACTGGGTGATGGGCACTGGATGGGATGAGCACTGGGTGTTATGCTATATGTTGGTAAATTGAACTCCAATAAAAAATATACAAAAAATAAAATAAAAGCCACTGAAAACTTAAAAAAAAAAAGAAATATGTCAGAGAGGGCTCTCTTATCCACTATTAAAGACAAGAGTCCAGTGGCCTTCCAAAGAGTGGCGTCTTCTTCCTAAGCCTACCTGCGGAGCACGCTGGGGCACGCAGTGTTTGCGCCAATTCCTTTGATCAAGAGAAGACCCTGGCCATGGAACCTGGGCAGACATTGCCCTCTGGCTCTACTGGCCAGGCAGGAGCAGCCTCTGGAACACTGGCTCCTTGTGCTAAATGTATTCTCAGAGGTACAGGTGGCTGATTCCTAGGTGCCTGGCCAACATGCTTGGAAAAGACACTGCTTGGAATAATGCACTTTCGGCGACAACGTATTACATCATGCTAATTAGAGTTATTTACTGAGGACACATGCCTTGTGGGCTGCTGCTGGAAGAGCTACAGCCTGCAAGGGTCTATAGCAGGTTCCCAAGTAGGAGAAAAAGTCTACCAAATTCTGAGAATGGAATCTGATCTGCATTCTCAAACTGATTCGAACCTTTTTCAAGTATGTGGTCAGCATTTACTCACCCCTAAAGCACCCTGATTTCAGACTGGGACCTGAAATGAAAGTACTTTGAAAGCAACCAGACGGAACCATGTTTTTAAGCTCAGCTCACTTGGAATATTTACCATGCGTGGCAACGCAGCAGTGATGACCTCAGGCAATGAAACGGCAACTGGAAACTTAGTCATTTGAGCATGAAGCTGACTGATGCCAACACCCTTTACCCAGGGGAATTTTTAAACCCAGAGAATTCTCACTCAGTTGTAAGACTTAAATGATAACATTTAAGCATATAATAGCTGCTATGCTATTGATATCGTGACTTCTTATTTTATTGATCCTATGCAGCTCTCATGAAATTTGCTGAAGCCAAAATTTCCCCTAAGCAGATTCTATTTTCCTATTAATGTCCACTACTTTCCTGTATTTCTGTGGAGGGAAATAAAACTCCCTTAATAAGTTCACAATTTCTGTCTTGTTCCCTGGAACAAGCCTTGGGTGGAGTGGGAGCTGAATGACATTTGTCCGGTGGATAGGTGGATGGAGGTGTTTGTCACACCCGTGACGTGTTGATAGTGCAGGTGGTCAGTGGTACTCTCAGAACTTCTGACGACGGTTTTTTTAAAAATTTTCCCCAGGGTTTTGTTTATTTCAGGTGGTCAGAAGTTCTCAAACTTCCATCCTTTCCTCCTCTGAGCAGTGATTCTTAGACTTAAGTGTGCATCACAATGACCTGATCTACGCGGAGCGGAGCCCAGGATCTGCACCGTTAACCGACGGTCTGACTGGGAGGGGGGCGGCCCATGGGCCGCATTGAGAAATGCTGTCTTCAAGCCTGGTGTTTGTGTAAATGTCGTAATATTTTATTTTACCATCTGGAGCTCCTATTAGTATGCGGAAATCAGGGTCTGAAGGGGGTCCTGGGTTACAGAAGGTAAATGATCAGTCCTCAATTTGATCAATTCAAAATATGACATGAAATAAGGGTCACTAGCATCCCAGACCCTTCTCCCCCAAAATGTGGTTCCATTGTCTCTTCCATCAAAATATATGCAGAATTTGCCCTTTTCTTTAGCCTCCATTATTGTCACCTTGGCCCAAGGCACCATCTCGACCCTGAACTATCAGCTCCTTGGTAATTTCTCTGCTTCCACTCTTGTCCCCCTCTTCGGCATGCTTTTTTTTTTTTTTTTTTAAGATTTTATTCATTTACTCATGAGAGACACACAGAGAGAGGCAGAGACATAAGCAGAGGGAGAAGCAGGCTCCCTGCAGGGAGCCCGATGTGGGACTCGATCCCAGGACCCTGGGATCATGCCCTGAGCCAAAGGCAGGTGCTCAACCACTGAACCCCCCGGGGTGCCCCTTCAGTCTGCTCTTAAAACAACAGCCAGACTGATCCACTCATGTGCTCAATATCCTTCAACGGCTTTTCCTGCCACAAATGGGAAAGCTGAAGTCGCACGACAGCCTGTGGGATCCTGCATGCTCCGGCCCACAATGCCAGGAGCCTCGGTGTCTGCTGTCCTTCCTCCTTCACTTCCCCACACTGGCTGCCTCCACTCTTGGAGACAGGGACCTGCCTCAGGGCTATGAACCTGCTGTGCCCCCTTTGCTACCAGTCAGCAACCTGCACAGCTTGCTCGCTTACCTCCTCCAGCCTTTTCTTCTAAGGCTCAGTGAGGCCTCCCCGCTGGCCATCTGCTAGGACATCAGGACTCCCTGCTGTCCAGCCCTAGCACGCATTAGTCCCTTTCTGCTTTATTTTTATTCTTCATTCTTTCCAGTGTCTAGTAATGTATGTGGCTCCTCGCTTACCTTACAGTGACTGTATCCTCCTTTCAGGAGGCAAGCCCATGAGGCTGGGGGTGTTGTGTGGCAGAACCCTGTCTGCAGGGAGCCATTAATAAGTACTTGAGGAATGAATGGATGAATCCACTGTCTCCTTTACATCTTCTCCCCACCTCTCATATTTCATATTTGTCCTCCAATTGTGACTTTAATTCCATTTTTTAAAAAGATTTTATTTATTTATTCATGAGAGAGAGAGAGGCAGAGACACAGGCAGAGGGAGAAGCAGGCGTCCACACAGGGAACGCGACATGGGACTCGATAACGCGTCTCCAGGATCAGGCCCTGGGCTGAAGGTGGTGCTAAACCGCTGAGCCACCCGGGCTGCCCTTTAATTCCATCTTTGACCACATTTGTTCTCTCTGCTTTCCCATGGCCCAATTCAGCTCCATTTATATCCACTTCCTTCCACCATTTATTTCTTTGGCTTTCTTCCCCTTCCTGGTGAGACGTGGGTCCTGTTCTAGGGCTACTTGGGTTTTTATTGAACGGTTGCATCTTTCTCCTCACCCACTTCTGCCCCAGCTCAGCCAGTTCAGTGCTCAGCCCTACCCTTAGAGTTTTTAAATCCCTCCTCTGTTATCTTCCAACCAATATAAGATGCTATTTGCTGTGTACATGCAAACAGCTGTGGATGTTCCTTCCATATGTTGCGTCACCGAACATCAAGGTGGGGACACGGTGAAAATGAAGTGTGTCCTGAGGAGCAAGGAAGGGAGAGGACAGGAGAGCCCTGGACGGATTCTTTGGGTATATTATTTTTGAGGAGCCTTAGATCCTTTACTTAAGGCTGTTCCTGAAAATTCTGCCAACTGTTAAAATAGAAATTTAGCATTTAGTGAAATTAGACAACTATTTAGGAAATATGAGTGATTGTTCCAGGAGAGGTTATAGGTTGGCAGTCTTTAGGGCCATATTTATTCAAATTCCTACTCAAGGGTGCCTGGGTGGCTCTGTGGTTGAGCATCTGCCTTTGGCCCAGGGTGTGACCCCGGGGTCCTGGGATTGAGTCCCGCATGGGGCTCCCTGCAGGGAGCCTGCTTCTCCCTCTGCCCGTGTCTCTGCCTCTCTCTCTGTGTCTCTCACGAATAGATAAATAAAATCTTTAAGAAAAAAATTCCTATCCAATGTCTCCAGTGTTATGAATCAACATTGATGTTATTGATATTATTGATCTTGTGGGTCGCACATGGTGCTTGGAATGACAGGTGCCGGGCAGAATCCAGCAAGTGGGCAGAGGAGAAGGACACATAATACAGGCGCATAGTTACCCCGTAACGAATGTCCTGTCATTGACGAAGATCCACGATGAGTGCTGGTGAGCCATCATAGTCGTCTTTTCCCCTTTTTTGACGTCATCTGAGTTTACCCTAAGACATTAGAATAATATTAATGGTATATTCCTGTGATGCGTTCAGAAATAAGTTCCTGACTTAAACTGAAATATTTTGTCATGTCCCTAGTGTGTCAAAGTATTTCGGGCAAGTTTTTTTTTTTTAACATTTTATTTATTTATTCATGAGACACACACACACAGAGGCAGAGACACAGGCAAAGGCAGGCAAAGGCTCCCTGGGGGGAGCCCGATGTGGGACTGGAACCCAGGACCCTGGGGTCACGCCCTGAGCAGCTCATAGACGCCGCTCTGCCTGTGGCCTGCCTGGTGGGCCTCCGCACAATCCTGCCATGGCCCTGTGGGTGCAGACATGGGGACCACATAGCCTGGACCCACCAATCCCTTACTGGGATAAGAGTCCTGATTCTCATCTCATCCCCTTACCAAAATAGTAGTCCTGCCTCTCCCATTCCCTGACCGAAATAAGAGTGCCAATATCCAGTCTCCAGTACCTGAGTTAAGACTAGTTCATTCTTAAAAAAAAAAAAAAAAAAAGGCAGATGCCCAGCCACTGAGCTCCCCAGGTGCCCCCACTTCGGGCAAGTTTTTAAGCTGTGTTTCATCCATGGGCATGAGGGTTGGGTTGGGAAGGGAAGGAAGGAGAAGGATTTTATTTTACCATGCGCCACAGATCTTACACCCCATACGTGAACCACTTTATGGATATTATCTAACGTAATCCTCAGACCATCCCAGCAAGGTATGGGTATTCTTAACCTGTATTTCTGACACTTAGTAAGTAGTGGCACACATCATTTGAAGAAAGTCTGAATGTCTTTTTTAAAACCTCTACTTTCTTCTTTTCGCTAACATTGTTTTTGCATTTCAGAAAAGTTACACAGATTAAAATTTTTGATTTCCTATCTATTGGTCTCTTCCGAGATATTTTTCAAAGACTTTTTCTCTATCTAAGGGAATTAATAAGATAAAGGAGATGCCCTCCAAAATGTTCAATGGTATGAAACTAAGCTCAGATTTCAAAGTTGAACTCTCTCAGAGTGAATTTCCAAATGGCAGCCTCTAAACCTCTTTTTTCGTAATTGTTTGCAAAGTGACTTGTTGGAGAACAAGTAATAGTGAGTTCCTTTCTCTGCTCTCACCTTCACTCCCCCAGTATAAGTATTAAGATGTTTAGGTATTTTCCTCTGTTTTTATTGCTCAATACATGCTTTTGAGAAAAATCCATTTTATTTCTCATGATATATTTCGTTTGAAATATATCAAATTTTAAATTTGATTTTAAATTGAAAATTATATTCTTCATGTAACTTAGGGAAAATAAGTAGTAAAGGGAGAGGAACATATAATTTAATTATAACAATCTCTAAAAGAAAATGGGCATAAAGAGGGCATATGAAAAAAATACTAGATGAACCAGAAATATATAACTTGACATACAGTCTTCCCCTTGGTAATCAGTTTGAGAGATTGAAAGCTATGCAATGGAGAGATACAGAGAGAGAAAGGCCACAAGATACAGTGATATTTTTAACAAAGTACAATATAAACCATAATGCTGGCCCATGATAAACGCAAATGATTTCCAAATTTTTAGGTGGATCCCTGGATCAAAATCGTGTTGAAAATCACTTTATAGTTGATGGCCCTGTTAGCTATGCTTTTGGTCATGAATGTACCCAGTATGGCTGGATACATGTATCCAATTTGGCATAACTCCTGTTAGAAATCCTTTTTCTGAATTTTTTTTATTTGGAATATGCTTTAAGGATTTTTTTTCCCATTTTTCAATTTATCCACAGTTCTTATATGACCAGGTTTTAGTGATGCAACAGTTACCTTCCTGTCCTATATTTCTATAAATGCACAGACGTGCTTGGAATGTTTGAAAGTGCTGTTTCTTGGTGCAAAGCTTACTTTTTATTGAGAAGTATAAAAAGAAAAAAAAAACTGCATGAGGAACTTTGCCTGGCTGGAATAATGTTTCTGAAGCCTTGCTGGTTTTATATTTTATAGTAAAAATTCCGGAATTTTATGAAAAAAAGATTTTAGATGTCTTACCATGTTTTTAAAGGAAATTTCCAGAGACTTGTGAAAATTTTTTTAGTCAATTCTAAACTTCTGCTTAGCAGCTCAGTGTTATTTTCTTTAAGAAGATATTAAATTCCCAAAGGCTTCTACAAGCCCCCAACCCCAAAAGGCATTTTATAATCACTGAAATGTTTTTGGCAACATGGGAATACAAAATAGCTGAAGGAGAGAAGAAATCCTAGGGCAATGTTTGGAGATGTGCAAGAAAGAGGAAAATGTAGTATGTAAGCTGAAAAACCCCACAATGAATGGCCCAAGGCAAGAAAGGACTGGCCAACTTGGTAAGTCTATTTTTGCAGTTCTCTCTAGAATGAGTTCCCTCCTATGTGATTCTGTGCAAGGGAACACATTTCTTCTATTATAGCCACTCAACTCAAATGGGCTGAACCCTGCCCCAGTCCTGCAAACACAATTTTTAGGTTTCCAGGCAGCTAAAATCAAGCTCTGACTCGCAAGTGTTGATTAGGTGTGATGTAACATTCTTCAAGTTTCCTTCAGGCTCTGGAAATCATGGTTAGACATGAATAACATCCTCTTTTATGTCTTCATCTAAATGGCATTAGGGTGCGACCAGAGATTTTTTTTTAATTTTTATTTATTTATGATAGTCACACACAGAGAGAGAGAGAGAGAGGCAGAGACATAGGCAGAGGGAGAAGCAGGCTCCATGCACCGGGAGCCCGACGTGGGATTCGATCCCGGGTCTCCAGGATCGCGCCCTGGGCCAAAGGCAGGCGCCAAACCGCTGCGCCACCCAGGGATCCCAGAGATTTTTTAAGTATAATATTTTCTAGTCCTTCCATTTTGCTGAAATTAAATATTTAATTACTATTGCTTCAAGTCTATAGAATTATAGGGTAGGTAGCCAGAATAAAAATTTAGGCTAGAGAGAAAAGTTCAACTTTTTATTTTAAAAGAGAGGGGGAGGCACTTTCTCCTTTTACCAAGTCAGCTTAGTTTGGTTGGAGTAAGGTGTTTAGAAAACATTTCATGTCCTCTTTCTCCAGGAGAATAGCAATCCCTCACCCACTGCCCAAAGGAAGGTAAAAGGAAAAAGAAAAGAAAGCTATTTTCACAAAATCCCTGATGCGTATTTCTCCTTATAGCCCATTATTTGAAATTATATAATCTATTTGAAAGCTCTGAGTACATCTCACCAGGCAGATCATAATAGCCTCTAAGCTGAGTGCTTGACTAATTTCCCTTTGTGCTTTTACTATTCTGACCATCACATCATCTTCTTGTTCACAAACCTTCCTTAGGATCTCATTCTAGGCAATTGACATTCAGATTTTCTGCAATTCCACCAACACCTACTTTCTCCAAACTGAAAATTGAAGTTTTTCTCAAATACCAGGACTACCAGTCTAATGGATCTCAAACCACTGAGTCTCTCCTCACCAATTAGTTACCTCACACGAGAGGACCCTCATCACCAGAGGCTGATGTCCAGATTTCTGCTTCTTCCTCATCTCTGCTCAAGTGGGTCCTTATCAAATCTCCCTATAGCCGATTATCTGCACCTGCTGTGATGCCATTTTCTGCTTTCCACCTTGCATTGTTTCTTGATTCATACCTTAGTTCTTTTTTCACTCATACCCTCTTGTTCAGAGAACGGTGCTCCTCTAGTTGGGGATGTCATCCTCTTTGATAGCTCATCATTGGAAGGGAGTCTAATGGAGTACTGACGCTGGAAGGGAGGGACAGAAGCTTAGCCAACCAGGCAAATTAACTCTGCACAGGTCAGAAGTTACATGGATATTTTAGGCTGCCTTGGTACAAAAATGTAGCATGTTCCATGAGTCCAACGAATCCCAGTTAGTCATTCATAGAATTTGTTCTGGACTGTTTGGTCATACGGCCTTTGCTCTTGCTTCTAAAACCTGAGTTTTGCCCCTCGATGTTGTCATACTAATCACCCTCAGAAAGGGTTATTGTCACCGCCTACTGAGAATTCCCCAGGGGTGACCTCATTGTCCAAACACTACCTTCTTCCAGTTATTTACCACCTATCTTTTTAATTTGCCCTTCCTTGTACCTCCCCTCCCACATTCCAGTGGCCTATGGCTTCCCAAATGGTTCGTTTTCTCTCATTTTCTCGGCCTCTTAGCAGCATTTGGCAAAGTTGATTGTTTCCTGCTCTTGAAACTCTTTCTTTTCTTGAGGCTTCTAACCATAACAACCTTACCTTGTTTTTTGGGTTTGTTTGTTTGTTTGTTTTTGTTTTTGTTTTCTGTTTCACAAATCTCAATATTTTAGTTTCCTCTCTGGAATCCTCTGTACAATCATGGAATGCTGGCTTGTTCTAGTCTAACCTCAGCCATGTCCTCTTCTGGGTCTACACTTTATTCCAGGTAATCGAATCCATCTCTAGCCCAACCTCCCTGCTGAGCTCCAGACTCATGTCACTATCTACTTAGTTTCTACTTGAATGTCTAGCAGGCATCTCCACATCAATCAACATGTCCAAGACAGGGCCACTGACATTCTTTCATCTACAGAATCCCCTTCTCCCCAATTATTTTCCATTTATCCAATGAGGCACTATAACTAAAATTTTATTTTTCCTCTCTCATTATAACCAGCGTCCAATCCAAAAGTAAATCCTGCTGGTTGTACCTCCAATATATCACCTGAACCTCACAAGGTTCTATTTCCAATGTGACCACCCTGAGCCAAGCCATCATCATCTTTCTCCTGGATTTTTGCATCAGTCTCGTGGCTAGTTTTCCAGCATCCACACTGTGACTAGTATTCTACCGTCCACACAGCACTGAGGATGATCACTTTCAAGACTGAAATAGACATCATCATCTCATAATTAAAAACTTTCAATGACTTCCAAGAATGAACTAGAATAAAATATAGCCTCCTTATGATGACCCACAAAATCCCATCAGTCTCTTGAGTGTTCATTCCCTTATT